TTGGAATTTATTTGGGTTTTTCTGTAATCCACACAGGGTCACAAGTAAACATACAGCCTCAAATATATACATACATTCACTTAAATATGAGGCTTTTGCATCTTTTGTTTTCTTGTACTGTTTATGCATTTCATGGGACAGACTGTCAAAGGAGGCTTTTTAGTTATTCCAGACCTGGGCTGATGTATGAGATACTGGCAGGCTTCAAAACTATTCAGGTACCCATGAACAAGGCGAGGATTTGTGCACAGTTCAGTCACCATCGCAGTGCACTTTGAAAACAGTCCAGAAACAAAGAGTATTGTCTAATTAAGCTTTTATCAGTGATTTGATTGCACTTTGACAGGTAGTGCACTCACAGTGGCCGAGTGAAGTGGACTTTCTCAATGTCTCAATGAGTGACTGAATACGCTTTTTTATCATTAAATCAAATATTCATTATATCAGATATTTCTATTTGGCTTCTATGTTAAACATAAAGCATGTGACACATAAACTCTGTGTAGATACACAGCGACAACAAAAAAAAACAATTTCAAAAACAAAATGATAAAATTGTAATAACTCTGGATCAGAGACACGGGCTGCTGGAATGAGTTGCAGTTTTGCTGTTTAAGCAGAGGTAAGTTGGTGCAGGGTTTTGTATCCATCCACTCATTCACTTTCTTCCTCTCATCTGATTCAAAGTAGCAGTGAGACTGAAGCCTATCAAAGCTGTCATAAGGCAAACGATGGACCCTGGACACGTCGCCGGTCTGGTGCAGGGCTAAAAGAGAGATTTAGAATCACCCATTAACCTAGCATGGATATCTCCGAACTGTGGAGGGAAGCAGACAGAATGAAGAACTTCCAAAGTCCCAGGCCCAGGATATTCCTGCTGGGAGGCAACAAAGCTATCCACTGCATCTCCATTTGTTGCCCTGTTTTGCATAACAGTTATAAAAATTTCACTGGAAGGCAATGATGTGCAGTCACATCAGCGTTAGACGTGTCGACGTGTGATGGCACACGGACCTCCGTGTCCTCCCTCGTGTAGATTAAAGGTCACTGAGCGGGTTTTACTCTGTGCGACGTGGACAAATCAGTGTTTACTGCTGATAACGTTGTGCATTTTCTGAACCGAGATTGTTTTTCCCACCACAGTCAGCAGCTTCCAGCTTTAGAATTATTTCAGTTTGTGCTGACTAAGGAAGGAAAAAGATGTTTTCATCTTTTTAACAAACAAAGGAGAAGAAGACACCACTCACATTGTCAAACTGATCATTTAATTCATTTAATGACTAAATAATGAAATAAATACAGAGTAGATATAGTTTCTTTCAAGTACTGGATGACTTAAACTTATTATTAAATCTACAGCATATTGTTTATGATATCTAAAAGTGGTTCTAGTTTATGTTATTCCTGCACGAATCTTCCTCCATTGGTCTCTGAAGACATGGACGTGAATGGTTTCATTCACAATGCGACAAAAATACATTCTGTAAAAGCTGTTACCTGATATTTTACTATTATTTTACACTACAAAAATAAAAGATGACAAAAGAAAGAAGAAAAAAGACAAAAATAAAACATGAGAACATCTTGTAAAACTCAGCTCAAGTCAGAAAATAGCATAACCTTCACAACGACAATCTCTATGTCTTTAATTCCCTAAAACATCATATTTAATCTTTCTGGAATAAAATTTTAGGACACTAAAAGGAAAAATAAGTGAAATCCAGCAAAAATTGAGCTGTAGATTACAAAATTAGTCCCAGTTTCCCTCATTTTTGCAAAATTCAAAAAATTTTAAAAATTAAAAATCCACAAAGACACAACTTGGAGATAAAAAGCATGTAAAAAAAATATATAATTCATATTTGATGTGCCTAAAAACAAAGCATGCTTATGATGGAATTTCTCTCATGTAGCATGTGGTGTCTTAAATCATCTCTAATTAACTACAAATGAAAAAGTATTTGATGGATTTGTAAACACACATACACAGAAGCAACAGCAAAAAAAGAGAAAAAGATTAACATACCACAAAACACTCAAGGAAGTAATGATAAAAGAAGTTTGTCCAACTGTACCTGTTCACAAAAACCTGAGTATGTGGATGCAAATATGTATGGAAAGCCAAGAGTGCCAAAACTTTTACATCGATGGTGGATTTTTCCCATGAAATGAAAAGTGCCTCCTGCGATATATTGTGAAAAATGTGCACATTTCTGTAACAACTACAAGCAGGGATTAATGACAGTAAGAAAATTGATATTTTAATTGTCTTATCTTTGTGCTTGTTATACTTTATAAAACCAATGAACAAGCCGACAAACAAAGACTTTGTTGTGTAAGCACAAAAAACCCCTTTATAATAACTTTATCTTATTTCAATGTTAAAGTCTCAACTCTCCACAATTACATCAACAGATAAGCAACAGAGTCTCGTGCCAGTCACGACCTTTAATCTACCGATTCTTGATCATAAGTTGAGGTTAAAACCACTTCAGGCTCTCTCCATTGTCTTACTAGTATTTTCTAACAGTAAAGGTTCAAAATAACAGCGTCTCAATGGACCCACCAGTGGTCAGTCAAATATCTGGACTTGCATCATCGTCATTCTTTAAAAAAAAAAACAGTATGGAAGAGGGAACACATGTCTTCCTGCTAAAATGAACAACCTGTACATTTACTAGTGTTGTCCCTTTACACAAAATAAAATTTAGACATGATTTAAAAAACTAATAAATAAACACAAATATAAACACATCTTATTCTTATACTATATTTTTAAACTCTTTCCATTCACTTGTGGCAGGTTCACTGTTTTACTGAGTAACACGGTAAATCTAAACACCACACAGCCCATTTTACAAAACAGCAAACAAGAATTTTAACATTGTGTCGATGGTGCTGACAATGCTAATTCCCTCTTGAATGTCTTCGTGGCTCAATCTGATTGTCTGTAAAAAGTCTCGTTGTTGCTGGCATAAAGTGGTGAATTGTACGCAGCCCAAAACACGATGCTAAAGACAAGCAGCTAAAAGGTTTAAGTGATGTAAATTTCATCATCAAAGGGAGAAGGCGAGGCCCCGTGTGGTCATCCAGGAGACACTACACTACAATGCCACAACTTCTATCAAAGTGGACTTGAATAAAATATAATAGGAACTATTTTCCATGTAAAAGCAGAAGAAGAAGCTTTGCTGATGCATCTTAAATTAACTTTTTATTAGTCACCTTAAATTAATGTCTTTTTATTTATTTCTAGCTGGGCTGGACTCTTAAACTGCATTTAAAAAAGCTGGATGTAGCTTCTGGGTCCATACAGAAGTACCTTAAATCTACATTATTTCTAAAAGCCAGTCGGGGGCAACTTCAGCAGTTCGGCTTTCTTGCCATGTGAAGTGAACACTTTTCTGATGACTTGGCTCAGTTGGTAGTTGCAGGTTATACTGAGTTTATGTGTTTTTTTTTTAAATAAGTTAATATGGTAAATTAGCTTCCTTGCTGCACTAATCAACTGTGACGTCACAATTTCCATCATTTAAATACAGTCTGTGATTGAACTTTACAGATCAGCTGGGATTTGGGATTGTTTGTAATTGTGATTATTTAATGTGATTATTGATTCAAGAATCATGCATTTATTTAATTTAATAAATAAATAAATAATTTTAAATATTTTAAATAGTTGTAGAGAATTGAATTGCTTTTGACTGCAAAGCAAACTCTGCTTTGTACCAACCTGCCTTTCAGAGCTTCTAGCCTTTCCTAAACCTTGTCATAATTTACTTCTACAGAAATTGTATTGACCAAAGTAGCTCTTTTCATCGTCTTGGCTCCATCTCCAACACTTAATCCAATTATCTTGTTTTTCCTAAATGATATTCAAAAGAATCACTCAGCCCTACTATCCCTATGAAACGTATAGTTATTTGTTTTAAAAGTAGATCTTTTAAAGTGACATTAACTCCACGGTTTACTCTGTTTATAGCTCTAACATTAGCAGTAGGTTCACTTTAGAAATCAAAGGTTATCAAACCACTCATACGCAACAAACAAATAAAAACAGCAGGGTAGAAACGGGAATAAGGAATGAGCTAATGAGACTAAAAGGAGAAAGAAAAATTGATTTACATTCATCAGATGGACACAAACTCAGATAGAGTTAAGTGAATATATGTAAAATCGTTAGCTTCATAGCATAAGTGCCTAAGTCATTTTTTTGTGTTTTGTGTTTCAGACGGACAGGATGATGCAGCAGTGGTAGGGGAGTAAAGTTAGGCAAAAATCTCAATTTGACCAAAAAATGACTTAGGCACTTATGCTATGAAGCTAACGAAATACTACTTCGTTTTTGGAGAGTGAAGTGCAAATGCAATTAATTTTTTCATACTTTAGTGCTTGTAGCACAGGGCGTTTATACTATATCATACCTGCTGCTTAAATAAACAAAAAAGAGACTTCTCCAGGCACCGATTGCACTACTGTAGGATCTACTATATCCTTTCACTGTGCTAAATATAGAGACTGAGCGTTCTTATATATATATATATATATAGCACAACAGCAGACATGGCAAAAGGAAAGACTGATAATGATGTTGGAGCTGTCAGGTGGAGCAAAGAAAGCCAAACCTGGTCCCTCCTTTTGTTCTCCTTTGTATGTGGCACTGTAGAAGTTTTGAAAACAGAAAGATATGTAATCTGATAATGTATCTTGGTCAAAGGCAAAATACTGTGTATTCTGATCTCATCATCATCTTCATCAAGCTTCATCTTCTTTTCTTAATATGACTCTAATGTGCAAAAATAAAATCTAGGATATTGTCAGGACCCTGCATACATCCAACCTCCAGACTTTGTCAGTGTGGTCCCTGACATGCGGATGATCCCAGCATTGTTGTTTTCAGACCAAAAACAGCAAAGAAACCAAAGAAATAAAAACCCCAAAATGTCAGAGCTCTGAGTTTGAGGGTTTACCAAACCCCAGTGCCACACGGCTGTTTATTATAATATATAACGAACGTAAGACAGCACTTTGCAATTTTTGAAAACAGCCACAAAATCATGTTTTTTGCCATGCCTGGATCTATGTGCTTGAATCTGATTGGCCTACATGCTGTCATTTCTGGATGGAGCTGTTTTATGTTGCATGTGTCTGCATTAGTTCTGTGAAAGACCACGACTGCAATTAAAAAGCTATTAAATGATTCAGCACTGTGACACTCGTCTGAAGACCAGCTTTTGCATGACAGTCCACCTTTCTGTGGTAAAATGAAACTAAACGCAGTGCTGTTCAGCTGTAGATTTATGAGCAGTAGAAAATTAACACACTGCTTGTTTATTGAGCTGTCACAGTTCATCTTGAGCGCACGATTACGAGCCTTTGCTCTGGTATCTCAGGCTGATCTCCACTGCACCAACTCAGCCTTACAGTCAAGCTGTTGCCTTTGACTAAACGGCAGGAGTCCCAACTTTGCTTGTCTCACCCTTTCTGTAATTCCGGCCAGTGGAAGTGCTGGATCGGAGCCTGAAGGAGCACAGTACCTGCCACAGTTTTATCCCTAAGCACAGTGGGAGAGGGAGAGCTTCAGCAGTCCTTCTGTGTGCATCTTGTAGAGGAGTTTAAACTCGGCTGGCAGCTGGTGGGACTCCTGCCACTTGGTGGTGAATTTGGTGCCCTTCTTGTCGTAGTAGTGGTAGGGGAGCTCTTTGCCTGTGTTCGGGTCCCAGCCAAAGGGCCAGAAACCGTACAGGTGGATCTGGTCACACATGGAAGAAGCCAGCGTGTACATCAGAATGCCTGTGCTCAGGCGCTTCGGCGACAGCTGCTTGGTTTTCCAGTAGCTGTGGAGTATGAATGACAAGAGACTGGTCACAGATTAAATTAATAATTCAGGCACTCACAACTTTATTTATTCACTCTTAAAGTGAATTATATCACTTTTACTATTAAACACTTGAAAAATGCTATGACCTAATAACTAAGTGGCAAATAAATGCAAAGCGATTATTAGAATTAAAGAATATTAGAATCAAGGATTTGCAACAAACCACTGAGTTTATCTGTGACATGTTCCTTGTACTTTTTTTGCAATGTTTTTGCTGTGTTTTGATCCTTTTTAGCATCGACTTCCTGCTTTTGTTCCTAGTTATTTCCCCCTTGTTTTGAACAGTTTAGGCAAAAACCTGAATTTTGGTAAACGGAGATAAAGGAATATCATCCTGTCCACTTTTGTCTGCTTTTTTCTAGAGATCATTCCCAAAAATTCTGAAAATAGGACTCTATTGATAGGACATAATCTGCTGAAGCTTTAATGTGGCAGTTTTGCTCTGAAGAATCACAAAAGGGGGAAACTCTCCAAACTGGCCTAAACAAAAGCGGCTTCAAGAGTCCTTACAGCGCTGAAAGCCGTCTGAGCTGCTTAAAAGTGGTAATTCTTCCAGAGCAGGTAGACTTAATGGGATTGGTAAAGATTAGACTACTGTACGGGCAGCCCTATTCTGCCACTACAACACTAAGAACCCAACTTAAATCCCCCTCTCTCCACACACACTGTTACAGCTGTGTGCCATACCTTTCACTAAATAGCTGTTTCCTTATAATCCGGCTTTGGAGCCTAAATCTCCTCTTTTGACATATAGAATACAGCTCAATACAAAACAGCCACGTGACAGCCAGTTTCTACTAGTTTGTTTAAACAGGATTGAGGTGGATGAGGGACATTTAAAAACACAGACAGAGAGAAAGCACAAATAGCTACAGCCTTTAAATGCTAAGAGACAGGGACGACCAAGCTAACCGGGCGGAAATGAAATCCAGTTGTGTGCATGTCCATTTTTAACAAGCAGAAAGCACCGAATTTGATCAGCTGTTAATCTTAATGAGCTATGCAATAAACTCAGAGACTAATTCAAGTAGTGGGTTGGACCCCATTTTACCTTCAGAACTGCCTTAATCCTTCATGGCATAGATTCAAAAACATACTGGAACCATTCCTTTAGATTTTAGTCTATATTGATCTACTAACATTATCGATAATGTGAAACCCTAGAGATGGTTGTTTGGAAAAAAAATCACAAATCAGCAGTTTCCAAAATCTCAGAGCCCGTCTGGTACCAACAGCCATGCCACGTTCAGCATCACCTGAATCACCTTTCTTCCACATTCTGGTGCTCAGTTTGAACTTCAACAGGTCACTTTGACAACCTTATGAAATGTGAGTATCATCATAGGTAAAAGGTAAATAATTACCAATGACAATGACAAGACATATTTAGAAAAAAGTTATCTAGTAAACCTAATGTTCACGTTGATGATGGAGATTTCCTTGTCAAACAAATCAATTACCGTAAAGACCAAAATCCAGAAATTAATCTATCAGCCAACAACCCTACTGTTGTCCAAAAACTATTAAAGTCATCAATAAATTGCGTTGTTGGACTGAAGAACATGTTTCCTTATTACTGTGAACACAAATATGTACCCTAGAACAAAATTTGTAAAAACTCAGCTACAACCTCAGAAAATAAAAGGCCAAAACTGCAGTTCATCTAACGGCCACTGGGGGGTTATATTCAAAAACAAATCTGTCCACACAGACTCCTGACTTAAAACCATCCCCCTATCTTCTTAACCATTTATTCCCTTCAGGATACTCCACACAGAAATGATGGCCAGTCCTAATTTGGCCAGTCTTGGCCATCAGGGTTGCCTCCTTATGCAGCTCTGTTCCTCTTCCGGCTTGGCTTTTTGAAGTCTTCATTAATGTGAAACTAAAGTTGTAGAGTTTTTGTTTTTATAACACAATGAAGACAATACAGTGTACGTCACAGACATACAAATATAAGTGCAAATTCCTCATCTGGAAGAGGTCCAGAGGTGCACAGGGAGAAGACACTGAAGAGGAGATCAGCCAAATTTATATTAAGTATGCATCTTTATTTTTAATGAGTAGAGTTATAAAATGTTTTACTGCTACTAATGACATAGTGATCACATGTGGAGATGTGGACTGATGACATACTAGATATTAATGATTTAACACCTGAATGTACTTTAATAGTCTGCTTTTTCTTACTTGTTGACATATTTCATGATGTTTCCAGGCCAGGCGAGCTGGACCTTGAGCTGACCTTTATGCTCCACAAAAAAGTCCACCAACGTTCTCGTCACTGTGGCCGACGTGTGGAAGAAAAACGCTGGGATCCACAGAATGGCGCCATCTAGCTTCTTCAGGCTAAGGAAGAAGTTATTTCTGTCCTGCACAGTTAGTAAGTTGTTATAGTATTTCTCCAGGATACTGGGGTTAAAGGTCGTCATGTTGGTGCGACGCCCAACATCTTTTTTAAAGATCTCAGTCGGCGCAAAATTGCAGCGGAAGACAAAGTCGTATTTCTCAATCTGGGGACCACAGCGTGAGCCAGTGAGGATACCACTGTTGCCAATCACAGCACATACATTATAGTGCTTGTTGAGGATTGGTGAGACCTCCGGGAGGAGAGAGCGAAAGTTGTCACTGATGGAGAAGACGTATTTGTGGCTGGAGTAGTCATAATGCATCAGCTGACCGATTCGGACTGAGTCTCGAGTCAGCGTGAAGTTGTGGGGTATGTCGATGTACTGAGAGATCTCCTTCCTGCAAGATGGAAATATATTGCCTTGTTGAGATTTTTTTTAGCTACAACAGACAACACAGAGAAAGTCAGCCAGGTAGAACACTACAAAAGCATGTGCAGTGAAAGTGTGCTGGGAGTTGTTCCAGGTGGACAAAAATAAATAAACAAGACAAGGTGATGGCAGTAGGACTGGAAGCTGATATGTAGTCGATCTTCAGGAAGAAAGGCTCTCCTCCCTCCACTTTGCTGGCACCAGAGTTCTTACCCTGTATCTTGTATTTGTGTGGGCACATTGAACTCTATTTTGACACAAATAGATTTGGGTCTGATAATTGGTGGTAACCATAGATAGTATAAAAGATGGATGTAGCTACATGATGTCAACCACAGTTCCAAAGTCCTGCTTTGATGGCTCTATCTGAGTGTTTTCATAATGACCATCTTTGTCTTTTGAAGCCAAATGTGAGAAGCAAGAGGCAGATATGATTGTAGGATTGCCTTGAGTAACCTAAATCTGAGACTATTATTTGACTAAGCCCATAAACTCATCAAGAAACTATTTACTGAGGTCAGGTTAGAAGGCCAATTTCCCGGAGACTTCTTATCAAAAATCTTTCTTGCAACCACAGGTATTGCCCCCTGGTGGCCATTAAAAAGAATCTTAAGAGGTTTAAGGTATATCTTCATTGGCTGATAGCGAACTCTACTAAACAGTTAGGAGTCTGTTGAGAAAAGTGCCTTCAGTTTTAGAGCAGGAGGATGTATTTTAAAATGTGACTAAACACTTAACTGACTTAAGTGATGCTCTAACTTCCGACTTGAAACTTCTTTAGATTAGCATCAAACTTCTGGACTTTAATGTGACTCGCTATGACTACACATAGCTTGGACTTGTATGTTTTTGTATTGTAGAATATAGGTCAGTAGCAGCCCTATCCACAAAGAAAAATCTACTAGATGAATTTTAAGTTCATGCTTTTATTTAGCAAAAAATATCTTGCACTAATCCAGAAGAGTTTCAAAATGGTCCACAATCAGTAAACAGAAGTGATACTGGGCTCGGATTCAGTGAAGTGTTTCTGAACAGCTACCCAAAGCTTTCACTAACACAAAAAATGTGGCAAACTTTTTCACAACTAACACTTGCTGTTGGGAGTGCTAAAAGCATGTTAAGCTTTCAAGACCATCAGAAACCAATGCAGGAGACAGTTTGTGTGTGTGTGTGTGTGTGTGTGCATGTGTGTGTGTGTGTGTGTGTGTGTGTGTGTGCGTGTGCATGTGTGTGCATGTGTGTGTGTGTGTGTTCTACCTCTGCTGGTTAAAAGCAGTGCTGTTGTGCCTCCATTTAGATGAGTTCTGCAGGTCCTCGCTGAGAGCGTTGGTCAGAGAAGTAAAAGCTGGATCCAAATACTTCATCGCCAACTGGGAGCTGCACAGAGGAGGCAGAGACATGTCAATTAACTTGGTCCTCTTTTTAATAAAAGTAAATCATGCAGTTGCACTTAGAAATATTTTATGAAGCATTTTAGCTTTTTGGTAAACCATTAAGCAGCTTTGAATATCATCAAATGGACATAATAACAAAAAGTCAGGCAATCAGGCAGGTTTTGAACAAGCCAGGATATAAACACATTTTTATTTGGTAGTAAAAACTGTGGCTTAGTGGCTTCTGAATAAAACTAGAAACTGTACAATAGTACAGCAACAGTCTGAGAATAAATATACTAAATACACTTTTAGTGTGTCAGAAATATTCATCCTGTGCATATCTTTACATGAAGTCAACAGGCGTGTTTTTTAAGAATAAGCTAATTATTAAAGAAATCTTTTTTTTTCAAACATGCATATTTTACTGGTATGAGTGCCCAAGTGTTTTGAGATTTTTTTTTTCATATAGCATTTAACACTTGCATGCTGGTCAGCTTTGTGCTCTGGTGGGTCCTCAGCACCATTCAGACACCGACAAGTGCCTTGAACTGCAGCTGGCGACTGTAAATGTTGTTCTGTTCTGGAGAGAGAGTGTCCAATACCACCAACTACAGAGTGTTGCCCAGTGATCCATAAAAGGTAAGGAGCTGATGCCACTACACTGAGCTCACCAAAGCTGCAGAGCAGAACATGGATTACAGTCACTAGCAGCAGTCCAAAGCGGTGGAGTTGGAGCCCATCCAGAGAAGCAGCTTCTTGCACTGTTATGTCGTTATGTCTTCTTGCACAAAGTATGTGAGGTGTGATCAGAAAGTTCTAAGGTAGTCAATAAAAATCAAATTTGAACAATCTTTCCATCAAGGTCAGCATGACTCCTTCTACAATAAGCACTTGATTTCTTCCACTGTGTCAAAACTTTAGTCATTCCACTTTTATTTGCATTTTTAAGAAAGTTTAAGAAAGATGAAGTTGTAGGGAGGCAAATCTGGCCAGTAGTCCAGTTAATGAGTAGGGACTGCACTGATATGGCCAAGCATCTTTTGATCGCACCTCGTGCATGCAGCATGCATGCCAGCCTTTCTTGCTACAGCCACAAATACTCAATGATATTTAGTTGGGCAAATACCTGGAACCAAAAATGCTGAATTGTTTAAAAACCTGTCTGATTGTCAGCTGGTGTTTTTTCACAACTTCTTTACAGTGATGTTTTAATAAAAGTAACAAAAACAATATGGCTAAAACTATTACATGAAAATATAAATAAGACAAGAACTGTAGATGGGAACTCTCCATTCATAAATCAGATTTTGTCTTTTTCTCCACAAAGCTAAAATGCTTCCAAAAGAAACTTACAGAAATGTGCAAGACTTTAAAGAGCCATTTTGCAAATATCTATCATTCTGTTCATTTGGAAATCAGCTGCAGTGAAAAACAGCTCATTCATTTACACTCAGCTCAATGTAAATGCAGACTTTCAGTCTCTTTCCTGCATGCGAATCTGGTTTAGTCAAAGAATAGACTCTTCGGGATTCTGTGGAAAAATGAGCAATAAGGCCAAACAGTTGCATCAACTCTGTCCATCTTAACAAGTTATTCATAGTGACATTGAGGAAATATTGACTGTTCAGCCTAATACAGTTTCATTCACTGTGTCTGTGTTTGGGATGCTTTTAAAACACTAATTCACATCAATGACAAAACAAACGTGTTAAGATGAACATTTTTATTTGCAGTGCAAGAAGGCTCAACTTTAATTTCTCGGTAATGATAATCGTCCTGAACATTTGTAATAAAACCTCGACTCAACAAAGAGATTCATCAGGTAAGTATTTTAAAAGAATTTCTATACACCGGGTTTTTGCAATGAAAACTCGACATTTTGTATATAGTGAATTAAGCCTAGACTAAAACAAAAATTCAATGAAGGTCTCCACTGGAAAGTTTTATTCCAAGGCTTAATCCCTGTCTGGGAAAACTGAGTCATTAAGACTAGTTTCCTGCCACAGACTAAACTTCAAAATGTCAAGATTTTAGGTCTCTAGTATGACATAGGCAAATAATAGTTGATCAAATACTGTTTGAAGTCCTTGATGTTTATCCTCCATGAAGAACCAGGTTCGTGCAGGTGACTGCATTAGGACAGTCCAGAAAGCAACAGAGGTAACTTGGACTGTCCTACCAGGCAAGCCAGTAATGACTGGTTGCTAGGGAAAAATATGCACTCCCTGACCAGTTGGCATGGAGTTTGCTTGAGATTTTTGAAAGTCTATAGCTGTGTCACAAAACGTAGGCCGCATCCTTCGGAGGACCCAGCCTGGGCCGGGTCCTTCGAAGACCGAGAAGGCCGGAAGTGCAAGGCTGTGAAATGGGACGGTCTAGCCTTCAAAAAAAATTACATTTTTAAGTTATCCGAGTGACTTATATATCATGTTTAACCTGAGTAGTGAAAGACAGCAGGGTCTGAAAATGATGAAGCTGGGAGTCCGCTGCTCTTGCCGGCTCGAGTGACCATTGAACCCCCCGGCTAGCTATCAAGCGGGTGGGTAACAGACGTCTCCGAAAATGTCGGAGCACTTTTGCAAATATGCGATGTCTTGATAAACCAAGCAGATATTTGAAGTTTACATGGCTACTTTCTCGTCTGAAAATATGTTAAAAGTTTATTTTGTGACCCAGAAAGAGTAATAAGAGTAATATTAAAACTTAGTAGCGGCCGCCATTGTTGGAAACTGAAATTGGCTGAGCCGTGCTATTTATTCTGGGATATGGTGGGCCACGAAGGACGCACCCAACCCATCCTTCAAATTTGGGGAAATGAAGGACGCATTTGTGAGCCGTATTTGAAGCAGTCGACGAATTGTGACAGCCTTCGTCGCCTGGCTGTCACGTAATTGGCCTTCAAATGTGGCCTCCGAAGGATGCAGCCTACGTTTTGGGACACAGCTTATGACTGCTTTCTTCACTAGCAGATGGTTGCCTGTAGTTTGAATGGAAGACACCAACCTGTCTGCAAACACTTGCCAACTACTCTCTGAGCAGCAGTGAAGCTAGACAGTGCAACACAAGATTTCCACAGCAGGTAGCTCTGCATATTTTTTTGTTAGACTTTAAAACCAGATACCCTTTCTGACATAACCCCAAAGGTTATAAAAGTTATAAAAGTTGGCATCTTTCATGCAAACTACAGGCAACAATCTGCTAGCAACTAAAGCAATCATAACGAAGTTCTTTGCCGCCACCTAGTCACTTGCCACCAATTAGAGAATGCACATTTTCCCCTAGTGAACTGGTGGCTCGGCCTCTATTATGTCTGTGCAACTCAGGCGTTGCTGTAGCATCTGATATTTTTGCAGACATTTTTTGCAGTTTAGGAGTTGAATCTGAATCAGCATGAAATACAATTTTTACCATTAAAGCTCTACAAACTGGAGGTTGGAAAGGATCTAAGCTTGTATGTAAGACTTCTTATTTTTGAATGTATTTAGCTGTGTATGCTCAAATTATAATGCTCACAGATTACAATGAAATGCTGAATCATTTTGCAACCTCTGCTTAAACTGAGTAAGGTTACAATATACAAATATACATCTAATTTATATATATATATATATATAAAAATGTACCCATATATATATAATATATAAAATGTACCATGTATATATATATATATTTATGTATATATATATATATATATATATATATAGATATATATAGATATATATAGATATATAGATATAGATATAGATATAGATATATATGGTACATTTCTTCATGCCATGTCAAATTCAGCACCACAACATTAACAGGGCTCAAGTGAGCATTCGTGATCTTAATTTTGATTTGACTTGAAAGATGGTAAGTAGGCTGGCAGGTCAAGCTTTAACAGCAGTCGACTGACATACATATACCCATTTAATACATATGTGATTGACATAAATCCGGATATAAAAAAAGAAAGGCTTGCACTGCATCCTTCCGTTTTTAGCATCAGCACTCTTTATTCACCTCAGGTCGGGTTTGCGAGGTGGCCTCTCACTGCAGGAGGGGCGTGAAACAAAAAGAAAAGATAAATAACTCACTCGTTCTTCATTGACATTTCAAATGACACCCACCACTTTGGAGCTGGAGACCAGGCATGCAGAGGCTATAGTGCATTTCAAATACTCACCGCAAATCATCTAAATGGCTCAACAGCACATTTATAACTGTGACAGCAGTATCAAAAATAAGAAGACCTCCAATCATCACACACAACAAAGTACAGATTTAAACAAAATATTTTCACTGTAATGGGAAAGTGAAAACAGGCATTTTCAATCAAGAACAGCGGTACTTTTTTTTTTCTAAGAAACTTCCGCATTGGCAAAATGGATCGGTTACAAGAGTCTGAAAGATGTTTTTAACCCTCTGATGTTTCAGCGAGTACAACTAAGAGGCTGGTGGTACATGTGGTTTTGAGTGAGATAGCTCTTGGTTGAGATTACATCACATGTAGAGACTATGCAAAAAAAGAAAAGCTCCATAACTATAGCTCCCTGCATCTAGCTATGTTTGTTACTGTATACGAAGCAGGTGATTTGAGAGATAGTTTGAAACCTTGAGATTATTTATATCTTAACAAAACAGCTCATCAGCATGATTTACTTTCAGAAGCTGTGGCATTGCTTTCATTCCTCTTCAGAAAGAAAGCAATGAGAAACTAGTGACATTTTCTTCCTGATTAAGATATAACAGCAAAGATAACTAATATCATTTGAATTGTAATATTGATTGGCAGGCAGAAAGTCCATGACATGGACTAAAACCTTCTCCATCCAATATGGCTGCACAGTGATCAGAGCAATCACCAAGTTCCTGATGATAAATTAGGGCTCACGCTGCAACAACATGACAAGAAACTTGTCCACTAACAAACTGCTTTCTTTTAAAAATGCTGCTCTGCTCCACATCTAACTCACTCTGAGCGTAACCTTGGCCTGCGATGGCAGCAAGCGAGGGGGAAAATTATTACAGGCGGGAGGAAAATGAATGCGGCACTCGTGTTGTAAATCAAATCAGCCAAGGACGGCCGGCCGGCCTACAGAGCCCTCATCAGACCTGCGCTGTTTGAACATCGCACATGACCCAACATGTCGGACAGCAAAGATTTACAGATTTCTGTGGAGCTCAGCTGCACTGTCCCTACTAAAACCTGCTTCTTCTTCCTTTTTTTTTTTTTTTTTAGCACAGGTGATTTCTGCCATCAGTCTTTGTGAAAAGCAGCTCCTGATGTTTTCTGTTCATATTCTAAGATAAATGACTGTCTGCTGCGTGACTGGACAGAAAAATGTCAACACCTTTTTAAGTGCATTAGACTGTGGTTCATTGTTTCACACACACTTGTATATTTGGTGACTTTTTTATCATTCTTTCTTAGTTATATTTTTATCCATCAGGTCTGTCAATCAGTAGCTGCTGACCAGCCATCCCCGGTCCACACCAACTGCTGGCCAGGCCACTGTTGTGGTAGTCCTCGATATCATCCAGGTTTTTGTTTGCTACTTGTATGGGCTCTAGTTCTCCAGTATTGGTGTGAAATGACAATTTAGGGCAGCTGTGGTATAAACTTTACATTTGTTGGTGGTTTAATGAATGTGTTAAGCACTGTATACAGGAGACCCTACGGTGGCCCCTAGAGACAAAGCATGTACAAACTCCAAAACACATGCAAACCCCCGAAACACGTACAAACTCCAAAATACTTACAAACTCCAAAACACATGCAAGCTCCAAAACACATACAAAATACAAAACACTTACAAACTCCAAAACACGTGCAAACCCCCGAAACACGCGCAAACCCCAAAACACATGCAAATTCCAAAACACAACGGAAGTGCTCCAGGACGCTAGGGGCAGTGTTGAGCTTTTGTTACCTAGTAACTACACAAGCCAGGAAGTACCAATGACCGGATTTGGGGTCTGCAGCCTTAAAGGCCGCATTTTAAGGCCGATTACGTCACAGCAACACGACGAAGGCTGTCCCAATTCAAAGGCTGCTCGAAATGCGGCCCTCAAATGTGTCCTTAATTCCCCTGAATTTTAAGGATGGGTCGGTGTAGACTTCATGGCCCAACATATCCCAGACTTCATGGTGCGGTGGTGGTGTGGATAATTTTGCCAGGAAAAAAACGGCGGAAGCGGAGCGGAGGAAGAGTAAACTTTCAGAAGTAAGTACTGAATATTATGTCACTTATTTATGCGCAAATATTTTTATAATGAAGAACATTAAAACATTACTGTTGGCCACATGTCGGGAAAGTTATGTGACATTAGCGATGTCTGTACTAACTTGGTTTTAAAGCCTTTACTTCAAAATATACGCCGTTCAATAGCTGACTTTAATCTTACAGAGAATCTGATGATTTTAT